TTAGCTCCGTGTGACTTCTTCCTCTTCCCACAGATGACAATTCAGCTAAAGGGAAGGAGATTTGAGACGATAGAAGAGATTCAGGCAGAATCGCAGATGGTGCTTGACAGGCTGACAAAGAAAGATTTCCAGGGATGCTTCCAGGCTTGGCAGCGGCGCTGGGATCGTTGTGTTCACTCCCAGGGGAACTACTTCGAGGGTGATGGATGAATTTAATACCTTTGATAAGTGTACGGGTTTTTATACGCGCAGTCTTGAAACCTTTCGATCGCACCTCGTAAGGGCACCGGTCTCCCTCCAGTCGTGTGTTGGGCGCAAGGTGATTGCCACGCCATTAAACAATTTCTTGGCAACTGACCAACTGGTATGAAGACAGAGACTTGAACGTCCCAGTAGATGGTTACTTCTTGAGGCCAAAACAAGCCATGCGTTGACCAAACTTGGTGAAGATAAGAAGCAGAATGAGACGTCTCGGCGTATCTAGGAGTAGATGGGAGGATAATTTTAAAATGGGTCTCAGGTGGACTGAATTAATTTGAATCAGGGTAGGGTCGGGTGGCGGGTTTTGAACATGGTTATGAACCTTTGGGTTCGTTAAAGACAGGCGGAGAGTGTGGTATCTATCGGATTCTGAAGGAATCTTGCGCAGTGGAGTTCGATGGGGGCAGGGGTTGTCGAGTCGCGACTCTGCAGTGGCGTTTGTGTTTGTATTTCAGAATGGGCAGCTTCACGTCTGCGCCGAAGATCCTGAACGAGGACACGCAGGATGCGGATGTTGTGCTGCCGACGAGCCTCAGCAGGGACGAGCTGTTGCAGCATTGCCATCAGCAGCTGGAGAACCTGCCGTCCCTCGTGAAAAGGTCTTTCAGGCGGCTGGTCCAGCAGTTCGGCGACACCGCCGACGGGCTGAGGGTGTTGCAATGGAATGTCCTGTCGAGAGGTACAGGCGGTCGTGGTTCTCATGCTGACAGATGCTTTTTCCCCGATTTTATCTTCAGAAAACGTCGGGCACTGTGATTGGAGGAATTGAATTCATAAAGAACATGAGATTTTTAACGAGTGTTGGTAAATATAGTGGTATTCAGGGTGGACATTTCCAACACTTATATAGCATTGTTTTGTTGTTTTATTATTTATGTAATTATTCTGATAAATAAGACGTGTGTTGGGTTGTGCGACTCTTCAATCACCCTGTAGATTTTTTTAATTCAGTGCTGTTGTCGACATTTTACGAACAAATAGTGTCAGTCAACGTTGGCTAAAATGTTCTGCAGAGAATGATTAGATTCTTAGTCTAGAATTTGTTTTTAATAAATAATAATGTTAATTATCGATGCGCAAAATTTATTTCGATAACGAATACTTTTCTAAGATGTATCGTAACGTATAGATTATCGATATCAGATGACATCGTAATTGTTAACAGGCGTTGTGTCTTTACAGTTTGCGGCGAAGCAACGTCTAGTCCTTACCACATTCGAGTGTTGCAGTGGAATCTTCTTTCGCAAGGTGTGTACATACGAATAGGGTACTGAGATGAATCTCATAATGACGAGCTTCGTTATTATTAATACGATTTAATAAAAGAGTGAGATTTGTGGTGCATATACGAGGTGCGATCGGAAAGTTTAAAGACTGTGTCAATAGAGGGCGAACCGGATGTAGTACGAGCTTCTGCCGCTAGGGGGTGCGACCTACATTCATAGTGAATCAGTGTGCCAGCCGGCATCATCGAATTAGCATTTGTTTCTTAGTTACGGGCGTTTTGGTAGTGCATTACACCGACCCTCCTGCGATTTCGGAATGGCGTGGGCATCAAATTTTGCCAAAGACTCGCCAAAACGGCTAAGGAAACCTATGAAATGCTAAAGCAAACATTTGGGGAGTCCGCAAACTTTTGTGTGGCATTCACGTTTTAAAAATGGCCGAACCTCTGGCG